TCTTCCAAAGAAATCTTTTCCAATTCTTGGTGGCCAGCCTGTAGCAACAATAGGTTGGTGTTTGTAGTGTTGTCTCATATTGTCAGCATATCCTTGAACATCATCAGGTATTGAACTAATGGATGTAACATTATCAGGTATAGACTGACCTAATGTATTGAGATATAATGACTATATTGATCACTGATAATGTACACACACACACTCACCTAACTGGTGTAATATAGAGGTAGCAATATCTGTTAGTGTACGATGTTGTTGGTTTATTAATACATGACATATATCAATAAGATACTGCTCTGGATTAAGAGAGGATTCCAACTCTCGTTGTATCACAGACACTAATTGACTTGATTTCCTATAATCAGACAGTGGTATCAGTCCTTCAGCATACAGTGCATCAGTTACTCTGTAAAGGTTAGTAGTAATAGCATCAGTGAGTTTAACAGAATGAGTCCTTAATATATCCTTTGGATTACCTGCAGTAGTGTATCAGTTAATGAGTGTTGTATTAAGTGTATGTTTACCTGTTATAGGACCAGGATTGAGTTCAACATCTCCTGATAAGAGGAGGCGGTATATCAAATACACTAGACTATAGAACACATCATAATTACTGCTAACATCAGACCCAGGGGCCATAGACTGAAGTAGGTAGCTGCTGTCAATATTAGTACAATGTACTTTAGACCAGTAGCAATGAGTAACAACAGCTAGTAATGTATAATGTATGATAATTATATGTTATACAGCATTATAGGAGCAATACAGAACTGGCAGCATATAGCTGGTAATTTTGGAGTGTTATAATTTGGTGAATTGGTAAATTTTTGACGGTGAAGAAGGTTTAATTTGTCAATTTTCTCCAGTGACATGAACCATTGAGCATGCATCCCACCCCATGACTTTGAGTTACACTATGTTCGGCTTTATTTTGATCAAGGCACCAAATTTGCCACTCCAAAATTACCAGCAATTTTGTACATGCACAGTTCAACAGCAGCTGTACTGCAAATGGAATGATTAATGCCACATTATCCACTGACTGTAAAATAACACTAGCCCCAAGATATCAATGATTGATTGTCTATACCTTTAAGATGAGGGTTGTATTCAAATTTGAGATAACCAGAGCAGAGGATAGAGATAAAAAGGAGGAGAACCATGAAGGATAAAACCAAAGATGACTTCTTTTTTCTTTTGGTGCTATCTGACTTAGGCTGATGTGCTACTGGGTGGCCAGTAGCTGGTCTACTGGAGGCAGCTTGACAGTAGTTCCACAGTCCAATACTTGCTCTCCATTGAGAGACATCAATCATCTTGTAACTTGCAAAAGGGCTTGTAGCTGCTGTTGTCTTGTTGAGATGAGCTCATTGAGCTGAAACTTGAAAGTGTAGGAGTGGTCATAAATACAAGCTCCATCCATAGCAACAAGCTCCTCCCATACAAGTAGGGCGTGTTTCATCTAATTCAAGATGGCTAGATTGTGTTGCTGTAGATCCAATGTGTCCTTATTCCTAGCGGCCATGACCCTAGGCCTACTAATGACAGTCTATACTATAAGAACTATCCAACTATTAGGAGAGGAGGAGGCCATCAAGGAACCAATAACGACCTTTAACAATAGGAGAATACCTCGTACAGAATTACTAGAAGAAAACAACAACAACAACAATAATAATAACAACAATAATAATAATAATGCTATTACTGATGGAGGTGGTACAGTGGACAGTAGCAGTAGTCCTTGTGAGTGTAAGGAGAGAGGAACAACAGTCAGTCCTCCATCATTAGGTACAGTATGATATTGTTTTTGTTGATTGTATTTTGAGTTAGTTTGTTTATGTCCTTCCTCTTCCTTTAATCTGTATTCTTAATCAGCAGACCTTGTAAATAATAGAGCTGATTACATGTACATGTATTCTCTCCTGCTGCCTGCTAGTAATTGAGTAAACTGATGCAGTTTTGGCAATCACTTGGTTTTAATTTGGCAGATTAGTCTCCACTCCTTGTGCCTTTGGGTATGTAGTTATGATATGGTTCAAACTGGTTGGATTTTATCTGACAAATGTCTATCAAAATGGCAAATTGAGCAAAGTTTCCCTTCGAAATCAGCAGCAGCTGTGCCCTATTGCTTGTTAATACATTCCTTGCAAGTTTCAATTAATTATCCGTTATAGTGTGTGGGCGGGTTATTGGATTACATTAATGAGTTATGTCTTTAATTGTTAGAAACTAACAACGAACAGAAAATATATCTACCGAAACCAGTCCGTAATGAAAGCCACGCCCAGTTTAACGAGCTACCAATGATATTCATGATCACCCCGACATACAAAAGACTAACACAGAAAGTTGATTTGGTGAGACTGTGTCAAACACTGATGTTAGTATCAAATGTAACTTGGATTGTGATTGAAGATGCAAGCACATACAGTAAAGTGGTGACCAATGTACTGAACAACTGTAAGGTGAGTATAGTTAGTTAACTATTAATTAATAACCATTAATTAACTATTAATTAACTATTAATTAACTAGGTGAAGTCAGTACATTTGCATGAGAAGACGACTACTTTTGTTTCAAGGCGTAAAGGGGGCGGGGGCCACAGGGGGGTGGAGCAAAGGAACCGAGGATTGAAGTGGATCAGAGATAATCACGGACTGAAGGATAGTAAAATGGGTGTGGTCTACTTTGGTGATGATGACAATGGATACGATATAAGACTCTTTCATGAAGTTAGTGAACATACACCAGCAGCTGATGCATGTAGGGGACCTGGTAAAGACTTTGTACTATCAACAGGGCATTACCTGATGCATATACATGTACTTATGTTGTGTAGAAAGTTTGAGCTGATTCCAATCAAATTTGGATTTTTTATGATTTTTTAAAGTTGCTCCAAAATCGGACAAAAGTCCCTGTACTATAGTACAGGGATTTTTGTAAAATTTTACCAAAATTGAAAAGTAAAGAATTCCTCACTTTTGTTACATTTTCTGATCCATATACATGTACTTATGTTGTGTAGAAAGTTTGAACTGATTCCGATCAAATTTCGATTTTTTACAAATTTTTGAATTTGCTGAAAATCAGCCTTGGCCAAATTGTGACAATGAAAGAAATGGGTTTTGGGTTGTCACAGATTTCGTGACAATGGAACGTGTAAACAAAATGATGAAAAAAAAATATTATTTTTGTTTAGATGAGGTATACTAGTGTTGTCTCAGTCTGGCCGGTTGGATTCGTTGGAATGTTAAGGTACGAAGGTCCTAACTGTCAGGATGGACGTGTGGTGAGTTTTCATACCAGCTTCAGACCCGATAGAACATTCCCCCTGGATATGGGAGGTCAGTATATCCTTGTATACTCTTGTATATTATACTCTTTATTATTTCCTTAGCATTTGCTGTTAATTTACAAATATTAATGAATAAACCTGAGGTCTATATTAATCATAAAAGTGCAGCTGGGATGCTGGAGACAACGTTCCTATCAGATCTTGAAGTAAAACCATCACAGCTGGAGGCAAGAGCTAATAACTGCAAAAATGTAAGAGAGAGAGAGAGGTGTCGATTTAACATTATTATTATTGTTGTTATTATTACTTATTATTATTATTATTAATAGATCTATGTCTGGCACATTAAGACGGAGAAGCCCAAGATGCCTTATGAGAGACAGAACCCTGGGGACAAGACCATTGAAGTTTAACGACTTTTGTATAATAATAATAATAATAATAATAATG